TTTTTTTTTGCAAATTTTCTAGTTTTACAAATTGAATTCGTTTTAATTGAGACTTATTGAGCATACGAAGCTAAGATTCAGTAATTATAAAGTGGGGACGAAAAAATTTTAAGAAAGTCCCGTAACCGAATCTCAGAACACTCATATGGCTCACGTTTATGTAAAAGATGTCAAAGCCTTTTTTAAGACTGAGTTGAAAGTTCTGGATGTTCAGAGAAATCATCATTTAGCCGAAACATCAAATTTTGGAAGTGGTGATGATCGATACAGGCACTTGGGGACATATCGAAAGGGTTAAATTCTTGGCAGGTGCTTCTCTGGAGGAAACCATTTGGCGAGTATTTCTTTCAGGAGACAGATCGATTGTTAGGATCAGCAGCAGGCTGACCATCAGGCGATACAGCACTGATCACTGTTACTTAAGAAGTTCTTGTACAGTCTGGACTATGGCTGATCCTAGTGTTCCATGCTAAAAAATTTTTAAATTTAGCTTTTTTTTGCTGTTACTGCTCGTCTTTAGCGTTATCAAACACGCCAAACTTTCTCTCCATAACTGCCTAATTGCGTTACATATGCTTCCGTAACAGTTAGTGTAATAATTACAGGTTTTTATCAGCTCTCGTGATACTGGTCAGCTAATTTTTTATGAATTACAGGACAAGACGGCGAGGAACAGCCAGATGAGGTAAAGCCCCAAGGTGCAAGTGGCTGTCGTGAACATCAGGACTGCCACCAGTGGGGTGAATGCGTATTTGGTCGGAACGGTGAGCCGGGCTATTGCAGATGTAGGGGCTGGTATGTGGGTGATGGTGTGCGGCACTGCGGACCACCTGGAGGTTCGATTGCCACTTTTTTTTCATGCTTATGAATAACACCGTGATAGATGGACAATAAAGCACCTTCCGGGATACTTAATATGCATTAGGTAAGGTTAGATATCCTTTTATTTTTGTGTCCCGTATCCTTAAACACATTAAGGTTAAGTGTCCTGTAAGTACCTTACAGGATGCCTACTATAAGGGTTTAGTGTACTTAAAAGGTGTCGTATAATAGATCAAATAATGATTCATGGTTTTTGTCAAAAGTAGGTTAAAGAACAACTGCGTTACTATGACGCAATATCCCTGCCCCTCTTGAGTGCAGCGATGGCATCATCTTAGGTTTTTGAGCAGATGATCGTTTGTATTTTAAATTTGTCCAGCTTAGCTAAAAGCTATAACGGCGACAAAATGATAAACTCCTTGACAGTAACCGCTTTGCATCTAGAACTTTTAGTCTAAGCCGTTTTGTTTGTTTGAATCTTTTCGAGAGCTCCCATGTCTTAGTACCGTTCGTGATTTGCATGTTGCTGAGTTTTGAAAAAGAAAACCATCAATCCTCTTTTATTAGCGGATTGTGAAAATGGTGGAGCTTGTACCTGGCAACCGTCGTACTGACGAAATTCAGTCGTGGTGCTGAAATGGAATGTATATGGCTCAGTGAACCAAAACATTCCTTTTCAGTTATTTTATGTACTTCAATTTTTTTTGCAAATTAGCCATTTTTCTTGTGTAGACATACTGTTTATTTTCCTGCTAACATTTGCCCAAAATTATTCTATTATATAGCCTAAAAATCGATTAAAACAAATTATTTTGCTTCTTTTTTCAGAGACCGAAATTAAACAAGTGGTGATTGAGGATGCTGGAGCAGGACATGTTGGTCAAACATGCGGCGATTATCGTTGTCATATCAATGCAGACTGCGATACCTCGTCGGGGCATGTAAGCTTTTTGCTTATGATGATATTGGTACTAGATGGTCATTCCCACCTGATTACAACAGTTGTTCTTTATTACTGTTTTTCTTCCAGTGCCTTCCACTTCCTACTTTGCCGCAGTGTTTTTACCAAGTATTTATGTCTGTTTGTAAGTCCAGCATGTTGATTTTCAAATTAGGCTGGGTGTATCGCGCGTCTCCTATTTACTTGATTACCCACAGTGGATTTGATTCCGGTTTCATTCACATTGGTTGTATGCTCATTTGGCACTCTGCAACGCGATTATTAGCCTG